TTAACCTCACTGGAAAATGAATTTTAGCTCTGCAATTGAAGAAGCAGTCTGAGTCTCTAATGTAGTGACTTTCCTTCTAAACACACACTTGAATCGCCTAGGGAACTACTTAAAATACAGTTGCTTTGGGACACAGTCTCATAATTTTAATGTTATTTGGTCAGTGGCCTAGAACTGGTGTATTTTAGTAAGCACTTCAAGTGCTGTTGAAACAAGTGACTTTACAAAACACTGGGTTACAATCGTGAAGGGGGAGATGATCTGTAGTAGCACCATGTGCTGACTCAGGAGATGCACCAACAGCACCAGCATCACCGTGTGCTGACTCAGGAGATGCACCAACAGCACCAACATCACCGTGTGCTGACTCAGGAGATGCACCAACAGCACCAACATCACCGTGTGCTGACTCAGGAGATGCACCAACAGCACCAACATCACCGTGTGCTGACTGAGAAGCTGTATCTCTCCTACCATCACATAGACAAGAGGAGTTATTTACTGGAATTCATTCTATCCAAAAACGTTTTCATATATAATCTCTTTTAATTAATCCAATAATTCTATAAATAAGTATTACAATCAGTATTTTGTGGATGAAGACATAGGTTTAGTGATATTCATGGCAACAGAGTAAGTGGCCAAGGTCAGTTTCAAATCCAAGACTACCTCTTTTGGAGACCCATGACCCTCTCATGGTATCTGTCTTCTATTTCTTTAGAGTCAAGAATAAGGTTGACAGCCATAAAGTAAAACAAAATGTAGTAATTTAGATTAGTCTCAAACCTTGGCCTTTTCTGCCTTAAGCGTCCTAAAATAGTTTTGTTATTTCTTCTTAAAAAGAGAATACGCCAGTCTAGTAAAGTATTGTTTAATAATTTACTCCTGAAGGAGCAAAATAGAAAATAAAACCCCAGCTACCTATATAGGAGATCCTCTATGAAGAACAGACAGACTGAACCAGGCATTATGGCTCAGGTCTGTAATCCCAGCATGTGGGAGGCAGAAGGAAGAGAATCGAGAGTCCAAGCTTCTCTCCTACACAGTGAGGTGGAAGCCAGCCTGGGTTACACAAGACCCAATCATAAAATACAAACACAATCTAGAATGGAAGGAAAAGAGGGAGGGAGGGCATCATAAGAAAATGTATTTTTTTTTCTCTTAGGCTGTTTCATTGCGCTTGTGCGGTGGCCGTTATCTGTTCATCCTCCTGTTCTTCGGCTTGTAAAGGGGAGGTGGAGAATGGAACGGGTGTGGCGGTATATTCCTGTAATCCCAGCATTTGGGAGCTAGAGGCAGATGGCTTGGGGTTCCAGGTCACCCTCAGCTACACAGTCAGTTCAAGGCCAGACTCAAAACAAAACAGACAGAGGAGGGACTGTTTGACATTTCGCTCTGAGCAACTTGGTCAGGAGCCATCTAATAACCTTACAAGGGCAGCCTAGGTGTTTGGGAAGGGGCGGGGCGAGAGTCTTCAGCCATCTTTAGAGTTGCTGCCTTTCTTCTACTTTGTTCTAAGGAACAATTTCCTCTGAAAACTCATGGGATGGAGATGGGTCGAAACTGTACCAACTCATGAAAGAAATGACATTTTTAAGGCAGCTAAAAAAAAGACCTAACTCTTGATTATGGGAAACTTGAACAAATGAAATCTGAATTACTCCACACACCACTGACACAGGTTAATGAATAAAAAACTGCTTTGAGCAGGGAAGAACAGAACTAGGCAGGGCAAAAACTAAACTGAATGCTGGGAGAAAGAAGGGTGGAGTCAGGGAGAAGTCATTAAGCCACCTCCAGAGTCAGACATGCTGAAACTTTGCTGATAAGCCACTGCCACATGGTGATACACAGATTAATGGAAATGGGTTAAATTAAGATCTAAGAGTTAGCCAATAAGAAGCTAGAGCTAATGGGCCAAGCTGTGATTTAAATAATACAGTTTCTGTGTGATTATTTCGGGGCTGAGCAGCTGGGAGCCAATAAGCGGCCTCCTTGTGCTCTCTCTCTCTCTCTCTTTCTTTCTCTCTCTCTCTCTCTCTCTCTCTCTCTCTCTCTCTCTCTCTGTGTGTGTGTGTGTGTGTGGTTATGCATGTATATCTAGGTACCTGTAGAGGTCAGAAGAGGTCATCTTTGGAGACAGAGTTACATGTACTGTGAGTCACCCAATATGAGTGCTGGGAATCACACAGGTCCTCTGCAAGAGCAAAAAGTGTTCTTAGCTGCCAAGCCATCTCTCAGGCCCTATCATTATTATTATTAATACATGTGTTTGCTTTCTGAAAATTGATGAGGCAAATATCTCCCTCGATAGTAAGGTGAAATTAATGGATGGAAAAACTGACGCAATCATAAAAGTGATACTCCAGGGAGATTAATTTACCAGCGGCAGTCTCTCAGGGATGACTGGTGCACTGGGTGGAAGATGGTTTTATCTGCCGCTGAGTCAGCCTTTGAGCCAGGAGAGAATATTCTCCATCAAGGAACCTGCCACATCTAGACCACTTCCCCCACTCCAGACCTGGGGCATCGTTTCTCCCGACTAGATTTCTATAGCTGATCACATCTGCTTAGACCCCCAAACCAGAGGTATGTGCTAGCCAGTCATGTCACTTTCTTCAATACAATATTAAATATGCTGGGTTTTGTTCAGTTTTATTTGGTTTGGGGGGAGAGGACTATATGAGAGTTCTGAGGTACACAAGATTGGCCAGGCTAAGATACTTCAGCTAACTGAACTTTCGCTCTACCAAAGAAATTGCTAGGACTTGCTTGTGCTAACTTCAGGAAAGAATGAGAAAGCAGGCCATGATCAAACAAATTCTTTAAGATACAACACATTAAGGTTGATTCAAGAATCAGATTGTGCGAACAGTGGACAAGTCAGGAATTTCAAGGATGTTTTTGAGAAGACAGGACGTCATTCTTTTCCTGTGCTACTTTATCTGTGAAGACCTGGTCCCTGTCATCAAGTCAACAACTGTGTTATTTCCTCCGATTGGAGACAACCCCCTAACATTAGCTCTGTCTCCATATGTCCCTGGTTTTGGTGATTAAACTATTATAACAAACCATCCCAGCCAGGAATTCAGGGACTTTATGTATTTTTTTTTTAATTCAGAAGCTAGTTAAGTTGAGCCAGAGATCTCTAAGAGTCCTCAGGAGAGACACTCAGGCTGATTCTTGCCTGCCAAAGTTAAAATTGAACTTCCAAGGAGAGTTTCGATTTAAACTATCCCATGCAGTGTTCACACCAATGATGCTTTTCCTTTCTCGTCACTGCTTTTCTAGCCTTCTAGAACCTCAAAGTGTGGGTTTCTAACCCTTCTGTCTCACACCCATGCCTTGCTACTGTTTGTCACCACTGCCTTACCAGCTAATGCTCTCCCTGTCCCCAGATGCCTTCATATCCTCTCCCAGCTTCCCATCTCTCGTCTTCGGTCATCCGTGTGTGTGTGTGTGTGTGTGTGTGTGTGTGTGTGTGTGTGAGAGAGAGAGAGAGAGAGAGAGAGAGAGAGAGAGAGAGAAGGTAGGTAGACCTTCGTGAGATGGAGGTCAATGCCAGCTGTCAGGAACTCACTGTGCAGCCCAGGTTGCTTCTCTGTCTCCTGAGTGCACCGCCATGTTTGACCTTCACCTTTTAAAAATTTTATTTTTATGTTTATTCATTCATTCGTTCACTCATTTATTTATTTAATGTGAGTGTGTGTGTGTGTGTGTGTGTGTGTGTGTGTGTGCACATGCAAGTGTTGCTCATGCATGCTTGCAAAAGACAGAAGAGGGCATGTTCTCCAGGGCTAAAGCTACAGGCATCTGTGAGCCACCTGACTTGGGTGCTGGGTACTAAATGCAAGAGCAGAAGGATCTCTTCAGCACTGAGCATATTTTCAAACCCCTTCCCACTCTATATGTCAAAGTCAATTCTCTCATGGAATAGAACTTGCTAATTTGGCACAACTAGCTGGGCTGTAGGCTGCAGGGCCCCTCCTGTCTCCGTCTTTGAAGCATTAGGACTGCAGGCATGCACCGCCATGCCCAACTTTTCCACACAGGGACTTTTGATGCAAGCACAAGTCCTCCTTTTTGAATGAGGAGCTCCATTACTCTTCCTCTTCTAGAGATGACTTCTTTCATTCCTTCATCCAAATACCCAGCAACACCAATTTTTCAAATAATCATTTTTTTAAAAAAAGCAAACAAGAGTGGATCCTCAATTCAGTCTATAATTATAATTACAGGCATCTTTTATCCTGTGCAATTACAGTTTTGTTTAAGAAGTAGGTAGGTTCCTGTTGTAGCTCATAGGGAGTGGCACTATTAGGAGGTGTGGTTTTGTCGGAGTAGGTGTGGCCTTTTTGGAAGAAGAGTCTCACTGTAGGGGTGGGATTTGAGGTCTTCTCAAGCTTTGCTCAGTGTCACAGTCTCTTTCCTGTTGCCTGCAAGATGTAGAACTCTCTGCTACTACTCCAGCGTCCTGTCTGCCTGCACGCCACCATGCCTCCCATCGTGATGATAATGAACTGAACCTCTGAAATTGTAAGCAATCCACCCCAATTAAATGTTTTCTTTCTAAGAGTTGCTTTGGTCACAGCAATAGAAATTCTAACTAAAACCTGGGCAGTGGTGGTGCTTGCCTTTAATCCCAGCACTCAGGAGGCAGAGGCAGGCAGATCTATGTGAGTTTGAGGCCAGCCTGGTCTATAAGAGCTAGTTCCAGGACAGGCTCCAAAGCTACAGAGAAACCCTGTCTTGAAAAACAAACAAACAAACAAACATCCTAACTAAGACAGGTTCAATATCAAGAAGAGTTACCTATAAATCATTGCATTCATTAGAGCCTCTATGATGATTTCTGTGGATGGCATATATCCTCCGGTCTTTCTCCCATAAAAAGTTTATATTTTTCTAGTGTTTTCAGAATTCCTGCCAACTTTGATTTTTTTTTTCAGATCATCCTTTTCTTCCTTGATTTTATCAGGGTGCTCTCCTTTGGAAATTCAATGAAGCTCATCAATAGAGCTTTTCCAGATTTCATTCTCTTGGGCTTTACCAAATACCCATGGCTGGATCGTCCTCTCTTCTTTGTCCTCCTGATCTCCTACATGTTCACATTGCTGGGAAACATTGCTATTATTCTAGTCTCTCAGCTTGATTCCCAGCTCCAAAGTCCCATGTATTTCTTTCTTACCAGCCTTTCATTTTTGGATCTCTGTTTCACCACCACAACTGTCCCTCAAATGCTGTTCAACTTACAGGGGTTCAACAAGAACATCACTTACCTAGGCTGCATGGCCCAGGCCTATGTGTTTCATTGGCTAGGCTGCACAGAATGTGTTCTGCTGGGCATCATGGCCTTAGATCGCTATGTGGCTGTGTGCAAGCCTCTGAGGTATTCTGTCATCATGGACCACAGGCTCTGTCTGCAGCTGTCCAGCACTGCTTGGCTCACTGGCCTGGCCAATTCACTACTGCAGTCTACCCTCACTGTACAGTTGCCCCTGTGTGGGAACCAGATGCTGGACCACTTCTTCTGTGAGCTGCCTGGGCTTATTAAGATGTCTTGTGGGGACACCACAGTCAATGAGATCACTTTATCAGTGGTGGCCACATTCTTGATAATGGGTCCCCTCTCCATGATACTTGTGTCTTATAGTTACATCGCCCAAACCGTACTTCGAATTCCTTCTGCGGCTGGGAGGCTTAAAGCTTTCAACACTTGCTCATCTCACTTGCTGGTGGTGTCTTTATTTTATGGGCCAGGTATCTACATCTACATTCAACCCTCCGAAGAAGGCTCCCAAGACCTCGTCAAGGTCTTGACTCTGTTTTACTGTGTCATTACTCCTATGGCTAATCCATTCATCTACACTCTGAGGAACAAAGACGTCATAGGGGCTATGAGGAGGCTTCTGAGGAAGGCCATTTCAACTAAGGGGATATGAAAAACGATTCTTTATTCGGAATGGGAAGGCCCAACATTCATATGAAGCATCCTTTGGACTTTGACTTTGTTTTGTCTGAAATGGGGGAATTGCTGACCTTGAATTTGCTGGCATCCTACAACAGCCTCTGGAGTGTTGGGATTACAGTTGTGCATCACCACACTCAGCTTAAATGTCTTCATCAACACCACCCACAAGCTGCTAATGCCATGAATGGGTTATATCTTAATAAGTTGGTGGCCCAATGGGTCCCTAGGATCATCTAAACATCACAAATTATTGCCAAGGATATTGGTTATCCTCCCTAACCTGATGGAAAGACCCCATTGCTGACTTAATTATGTCATAGACCATAAAGAAATTGAGCTGGTGCCCAACAAAAACTTTACTGCTAACTAATATTCATGGTGCTGGAAGGTGCTGTGAACACTACTTGAGGAGAAAAGTAATTAATATCACTCAGCCACAAAACCTGCAACCTACAACAGTGACTGCCTGCAAAAAATAAATTGGTGCAACAATAGCACAAATAGGAATAACTGACTATTTTTTAAAAGAATTGGATTTAAGTTTTACTCCCTGACACAGTTAATGAGGGCAAGACTCTGCTATTAGGTGGATCACAGGCTTAGGGGAGAACTTACTACTATTTTTTTTTTTTAATTTTTCGAGACAGGGTTTCTCCGTAGCTTTTGGTTCCTGTCCTGGAACTAGCTCTTGTAGACCAGGCTGGCTACTATTTTTTTTTAAATATTTATTTATTTATTTGTTATGTATACAATAGTCTATCTGTGTGTATGCCTGCAGGCCAGAAGAGGGCACCAGACCTTAGTACAGATGGTTGTGAGCCACCATGTGGTTGCTGGGAATTGAACTCAGGACCTTTGGAAGAGCAGGCAATGCTCTTAACCACTGAGCCATCTCTCCAGCCCAGAACTTACTACTATTATTCTGCTAAATGAACACAACAGTACAATGATAGCAACAACATATTGCTGTGCCCAATTTCTCAGTCCTCCTCAGAGGAGCTTCTTCTTGCAAGAGACAATAATTAATACCGAGACCCACAAATGGACAATGTGCAGAGAATGAGACACTTTGAAACACTCAGCCCTAAATGAGATGTTTTTATCAAACCCCTCACCTCAAGGCTCAAGGATGTATGCCAAAGAGGAGACAAAAAGATTGTAAGAGCCGGAGGTAAAAGATGACTTTAAGGAAACAGTGTCTTCCAGTCCCAACACAGTTGATCACATATGTACTTAGAGACTGTAATAGCACGCACAAGGCCAGCACTAATTCAAACCAGACAAAACCCCAGTATGGAGAAGGGGAAGTGGGCACAAAGTCCCACCCTAACCAAGAATGTATTTGGAATTATACCTGCTAGGTCAGGGAAAATCAGCTTTTGCTTTTTATTTTTCTTCAATGAGTGACAATGAGGTATATCAATCACACTCTAGGACAGGCTCCATGCCCAGGAGTAGTTGACCAGCACAAAATGGAGCCCATGTTTTTTTGTGTGTGTGCATGCTTTTTGTTTTGACTTATTTTAGTGTTTTTTTTTTTTTTGTCTTACTAGTTTTTTTTTATGATTTTCCTTTGTTGTTTGTTTTGAGAGAGGGAAAGAAAGAACATGAAGTGTATAGTTAGGGGAGGTAGGAAGGATCTGAGAAGAGTTGAATGAGGGGAAAGAATATGAGCAAAATATATTATATGACCTCCCTCTTACCAGCTCCGGCATTCAGGAGAGTGACCCCTGCATCTCGCCTGGGCAACACAGTAGAGCTGACTCTGGCAGTATAGGTGTGGGTGAGACAGCCCAGAGGGTATGAAAGTGGGAGAACTAGCCCCACCCCTTGCTCCTTGCAGCATGGGGTGAACTAGCCTGGGCAATGCTAGAGAGTTCACCCTGGTAGTGAAGATGGGAGAGCTGGTGAGCTGATCAACCCTGCAACCAATCAGGACTATGAGTTGACCCACCCCAACATCCACCCAATCTATGACCTGCCGGAACACAAGAAGGGATTGGTACTGCAGATCCAATTCTTCTCCTGTTGTGTTACTTTCCAGACACTTCTACTTTCTTTGAGTGGGTCTTCTTTCCAGAATGAAGAGTTCTTTGTCCACCCCACAGAACACATGCTGTGATGAAACCCTCTATCTATTCTAATCTAAAGTATTAGTTTTAAAGCAAAAAAAATTGTTTCTTTTAAATTTCACTATCATGCCAGGCTTTGTGGCTCTCACTTGGAATCCCAACAAGAGTGAAGTGGAGACAGGAAAATCAGGAATTCAAGACCAATCTTGGTTCATGAACCCCATCCCAACCCCTATTATTCTGGCAAAAGAAAAAAAAATCTACTACCACTACCAACAAATCTAACAAAACAAATAAAACAAAACAATATCTAACGTGACAGGTGATATCTGCATATTGCAGCAGGGAAGACTCTAGAACAAAATACTATTGAAGGTTTACATTGTGGTCTTTCAATATGTGGACACACTGTGAAATGCCAAAATCTTTTTATTGTTTTGTGATGAGACTTGGGCGCATGGACTGTTTTTGTTCTGTTTCTGATATGGATACAGCAGGCTGGAGAAAAGCATAGGTGTGTAGACGGTTTGGGCTGAAAGTTGGCTATGGCATAGGCAGGATGAAGTCAAGTGGATACAGGGACCTGGATACATGTAGTGGTCTAGGCTTAGAGGTTTGAGGTCGTATAATTAAGATTGACCAGACTGGATGGGGAACCCAAGCTAGATCTGGGCATTAGGGAGGGTGCATGGTGAGTAGTAGGCCACATACTAACATTCTTCTCTTCTAAAACCTCTTGAGCCAGGCCCACAGTTCAAATCACTCTCAGCACCACTGTCTTCCATGTTCCTACCAGTATAGCCATTGTGCCCTGCTTAAAGTGTTTAACTGCTTTTTAGTTCAGAGTCCCAAAGTGTTTCATATTCCTGTACATGAAAACATGGTCAGGCCAATCACAAAATACCACAGTCCCTGGTACCAACTTTTATCTTAGCTAAGAGTTTCTGTTGCTTTGAAGAGACACCACGAGCATAACAACTCTTATAAAGAAAAACATTCAATTGGGCCCAACTTACAGTTTCAGAGGTTTAGTCCATTATCATCATTATGAGAAGCATGGTAGCATGCAGGCAGATAAGATGAAGAAGGAGCTGAGATTTCTACATCTTGTCCTTCAGGCAACAGGAAAAGAACTGTGTAGCACACTGGGCATAGCTTGAGCATAGAAGACCTCAAAGCCCACCCCATCAGTGATATACTTCCTTTAACAAGGCCACACTTACTCCAATTAAACTAAACCTCATACTGCTACTCCCTATGGGTGTCATTTTTATTCAAACCACAACCTCCCTGACTACATCACAGAGAATTGGAAGCTTTCCTTTCTTTTTGTCTTTTATGCATATTCCCTATATCCATTTAGTTTATTCTCTCTTATCGACACTTTACATGTATTTGTCTCCTGTCACCTTCTTTCCTAGTCCATTCACCTTCTTCCCTCTAAATAAATATACAAATTGAGTTTCTTCTTTATTTTTTGGAGACAGGATCTTATTCTGTACCCCATGGTGACCACTCTTTTGCAAGCCTTGCAACCCTTTCTTCCCAAATATGTGATTACAGTTGTATTATACCATGCTGGGCAAGAGACTATGTGTTTTATGTATAGATTGGTTGGATTTGAATTGCACATTACCTGTGACTCAATCTCTTTGTCTCATCTGGATATGAAGGTAATAATAGTACATTCATGTTTGTCTTGGTGATTAAATTGGTTCCTGTACACTAAAAGCATTATAAATGTCAGCCACTGCTAGTATATTAGAATGTAAATTCCCTTGAGATTAAGGACTTTGTTTTGTTTTCTACTATATCCCCAGCGTGTTTAATGATGATACGTGTTTGATGATTAAGATTCTCAAAAATTATACTTACCTACTCACAGTTACATTTGCAGAAACTGGCTTACAAGAACAAAACACACATGTCTAATTAAGATAATTAAGTACACTTTTGCTGATTTAGTAATATTTTAACCATTTGAGAAAACTGAGTCACAACAAAACCAAAATTTATTTAAAACTAGGGTTTTTGTTTGTTTGCTTTTTCTAAGTTGTATGTTACCCAGAAATTAAAATTGCAAGACTTGTAAAGCCATCCTTCTGGGAGTTCAGCAAAACTTGGAAGCCTGCACAAATGAGGACAAGAGGGCCAAGAGGACAATCATCATTGTGGTCCTTGTCCTCTAAAGTCAGACAGGACCTACAGGACAATGATACTCTCTCTGATAATGTAATTGCCTGTCCCCCTGATTGGATAGGCAACAAAATCTGCAGGGATTACACACGAGTGTCCATTCTACAAGGAGGGGCATATTGGGACCCCCAGGCTGTGTGTACTGCATTACAGAAGTTATAATTGTGTGTCTAGACCATTGATAAAAGGTGTGTGAGGGATGTGTAACTTTTCAAAGGAAAAGGAGGGAGAAAGAGAGGAGACTTTCTAAAATGAGAGCCTTTAAAAGTATCCGGGCAGCTTTCACAGAAATGCCTAAAGTAAAGCAAAGCAGAACAAAACAAAACAAAACAAAACTCAAACCTACAGATATTTACTGATGGTAATAGATGTGGAGGCCCAAAAATGTGAGCCTATTTTCATATTGACCAAAGGTCAGAGAGTTGGAAACTACCTCTAGTTCCTTCAAGGTTACTGTGCTTCTACTTCAAACAAAGGTCCCACTTAGATTTACCTCCCAGAGTTCTTTTCTCTCAAGGTTATTGTCAACAGGTGTGGCTAATAGCCAGCACTTGTATTTCAGGAATAGAGAAGTAGATTGTTTCTACCTCAAACAAAAGTCTAAGGATCCAACTAAGTTCCAGTTAAGGAAATAATTTTGGATTCCACCCAGGAAGTGGTTTGCCTACAGAATATTTTGGTCTAGGGTGTGAGTGTGACTTGT